GCTGCGGCGCTCGGCGGGCTGGCCGCAGGCCCTCTTCCTACGTCTCGTCCGCTTGTGTGGCCCCTGGAGGAGGCTGTGCCATTGTCAGCTGTTAGAGAGAGCGCCGGAGATGGCAGGGCGTTTCCTAAAACCCCGTGACCAGCAGACTTGTGCCCCTCAGTCCTGTGTGCAGGGGACAGGGACTGGCCATCCGGCACCTCTGGTTTCGGGCCACCCCTCATTTGGGCTTTGTCTGTGGAGGAATGGGCGGTGACGCAGGGAGTGGAGAGGGCAGCCCAGTGGTGGCATGTGCCCCCTCGCCGACCCCTGGCGGGCTGTCCTGGGTGTCCTGTGAAGAGCTGTGCGCTGGGCGGTGCCACCGGCTGACCCTGTCCCCTCCCCGCAGATGAGTAAGGTGTGGAACGACCTGAAGCCCAAGCTGCACTGCCTGTTCTCGGGACCCGCCAGCGCCCTGACCCCGCCTCGGTCCCCGCGGGACGGCCTGTCTCCTCACTAGTGCCGAGAGGACCCGGCGCCCCCACTAAAACTTCTTTCCAAACGGTGTGTCCCTGTTTAATTCCGTCCAGATGGCGGCTGTCCCCCCCTCCCCCCAGCTGCCACCGCCTGCAGACGAGCTGACCAGAGCTGGTGGGGCCGGGACCCAGGTGCCGTGGCTCCCCCTCCCCTCGTGGGAGCAGGGCCGGGACAGACCCCGGGTGTGAGTGTCCGCTGAAGCTGAGGCAGGAGGGGTCTGCTGGGTTGTCACATGTACATGGGCCCCGGCCCCGGCACTGTGGCCTGTTAGTCTGGGGGTGAGAAGAGTTAAGATGCCCTGGAGTGGTTTTCTCCCGACACCAGAGGGCAGGGCGGCAAGGATGTTCTCCCAGCAGATGGTGCCTGGGTGTGTGCTGGGACCCCGTGTGCAGGGACCCCGTGTGCTGGGACAGGGGGATGATGGGCTGCATTAGCTGAGCAGGGAGGAGGCTGACACCCCCCAGAGGGCAGGCCCGGCCCTGCAGCCCGCACACCATGTGGTCAGCCGGCAGCCCTGGGCAGGTGGCCGTGCGAGAACGTTTGAGCTGCAGCACCCGGGTCCTTGGGCGCAAACTGTTTCCGGAGGACAAGCCCCAGCGCGGGGCCCTGGCCTGGGACTGGCCTGCAGGCAGTGTCCTGGTCCCCCCCCCCCCCCCCCCGCGGAGCCGTGAGTGGGTGGTTCTCAGGGAGCGGGGAGTGCAGGGGCCTCCAGTCTGACCTGTGTCTGAGAGGAGATAAAAAGGCCGTCGGCATTGCTGCCCCTGCACTTCCCTGGGGCCAGGCCCAGGCCCCTGTCCTGCCTGGCCTGTTTCTGCGGGTGTGGGTGCGGGTGTGGGTGCGGGGACGGCGGCTGCCTCCTGTCCTGTCTTGGTGACCTCGGTCCCACGGCCTGTCCCCGACCCGGAATGCACTGGAGAGGGCGCACGCCCAGGGCCGGCCGCTGAGATTCTCAAGTACGACGTCCCCGAATGGGAAACTAGGTTGAGGTTTGATACAGTTTCCAGTTTCCAGCTTCTGAAACCAATCTTGTCCGTACACACTGTCCCCCTCCTGGCCGCCGGCCGTCCCAGGTCTAGAGAAGGGACTTCGCAGGACGATCACTCACAGGACCTGTGGGGCGGAGGCTGGGGCGGGCCGATTCCCTGGAGGGGGTCCTTGCTGAGACCCACATGCCAGGGTCGGCAGGTTGGCGAGTGGGGTGGGAGTCTCGAGCCTGGAGCGGCAGGGACAGCCCAGTTGCTCGGTTCTGGTTCAGCGTAGGGGACACTCCGCAGTAACTTGGCAATGACCTTTTAGATAGGGTTTCTCTTTAGGGCCAGACTAAATACCTCAAGGTGCGTGCGGGCGGCTTTTCTTTCTGAAGGGAAGTATTGAGCCCGGTGAGGCCTGTTAATCGGTTCCATCCAGGGTGAGCGGCAGTGAGGTGAAGGGAGAGCTGGGCGAGTCGCTGCGTGTGGCACGCCCTTCCCTGTCACCCCCTTCCCTGTCGAGGTGACAGCGTCTGCCATGTGTGCAGACGCGGGTCGGAAGAACAGGCTGGCGGCTTCCCTCGGCCGCCCGACCATGCGTTTGTGGGGTGGGTGAGGGGGCTCTGCTGCTCCTCCTGCAGCCTCCGGGGCGTGTGCCCACCCCCCGGGGCTGCCGAGTGGAGAGT